CACGCGAAACCGTCCACGGGCTTCTTCCCGGAAGGACGAAGACAACTTCCCGGAGGTCGATTTTAGCAGCCACGGACCCTGAGATCCGATGTCGTGATTTTTTCACTACGGGGTCCCTGGAAGTCTCGACCCATTGCCCAGGACCGGTGTTTCATCCTGAGTTGACGGTCCCGAGGCCCGGTAAGGGCCCCAAGAGGCCGAAAACTGTAAAAAACTTCCGTCGTGATTTTTTCAATACGTTGGCTCTCTGGGGATTTCGCAGCCCTCGCCCGGCTTCCGACCCCCCGCCGCCCCCGGGAGGCGGCGCAGCTGCCGGAGAGCACCCCCCGAGGCCGGGAGCCCGACGGGAGCCTCGAGCCCCGACCCGCCGAGGGCCTCGAACCTCGGACCCAAGAGAGGGCCTCGAGAGCCTCGCACGGAGACGCCCGAGAACCTCGGGGGCCACTTGCGAACCCTACCCCTGCCCCCCGGCGCTTTCTGCGGGGGAGGGTGGGGCTCACTTCCCTCGAGAGCTCCCGCGCGAAGTGAGCCCCACCCTCCCCCGCAGAGAGCGTGGGGGGGTGGCCCCCGAGAACATCTCGAGCCTCGGCCCCGAAGCGGCCCCGCCCCCCGCGGCGTCGCCCCCGGCCACAGCGGGCAGGGAGGGGCCAGGGTGAAGTCGGGCGTGTCTCCCTGCGGCGGGATGCTCGCCCAAAGCCGCCGAAACTGCTCGAAAAGTGCCCCAAAAGGGTCAAACAATCCCAGAACATGCTCGAAGAGTGCTCCACAGTGGTCCCAAAAAAATGCTCCAAAAATAGCCCCCAGAGCCCCAGACGATCTTTTGGCTACTTTCGAACATTCCCCCTGTAGAGGGACAGGCCCGACTCCGAGCCAGGGCCGGAGCGCCCGCGCCCCCGCGCGGGCGGGCGGGCGGGGGCACCGCCGCCAGCGACGCGTTGTCCCGGAAGGCGCTGCCCACCCCGTCCTCCCCAGGGGGCGGAGAGGGGGGCGGCGTAGAGTCGGTTGGAGGGAGAGGGGAGAGAGAGGGAGAGGGAGGGAGGGAGGGAGGGAGGGAGGGAGAGGGAGGGAGGGCAGGGAGGGGCAGAGGAGGGAGGGAGGGAGGGAGGGCAGGGAGGTGGGGAGGGAGGGAGGGGCAGGGAGGGCCAGAGGAGGGGCAGAGGAGCACAGAAGGGTCCCGCCGGAGCACGAGGGCGAGAGTGAGAGAAAAATGGCGGCGGGTGGGGAAAGGGAGGGTTGATATGGATTCGAACTGGCTCACTGGACAAATACATTCGGCCTTGATTGGACGGGGCACGCGAGAGGAAACAAGACCCTTCCGAGGGCCACATCGCCATAGGAGTGTACGAAGGCACGCGCCGCGAGGCACAGGACACGAGGGTACCCTTGAGCTGGCGGGGTCGACCTACTAATCCGGGCCGACTGGAAGGGTTGCTGTTGTTGTTCAACGCTGGCCTTCGCTTTCGCGTGCTCCGAACCTTCAAGGCTGGCTGGGAGGGTGGCGATCCGGACCTCACGAGGATCCGCCACTTTCGGCACCTCCCAGCCAGCGCTCGAGAGAGAGGGGGAGACGAGGGGGAGGCGGTGGCGCACGAAGGCGGGACCCGAACAAAGACGGCACCCCGCCCTGCCGGCCGCTATCTATATATATATATATATATATATATATATACATGTACATATATATATATATATTTGTGTGTATACACATACATGCATATAGATACATATATGCATACATACATACATACATACATACATGCATGCACGCATGCATGCATGCATGCATGCATGCATACATACATACATGCATGCATGCATACATGCATGCATGCATACCTACGTACATACATACATACACGCATTACATTACATTACATTACGTTACGTTACGTTACAGCACAGTACAGTACCTTACATTACATTACAATAAATTACATTACATTGCATTGCATTGCATTGCATTGCATTGCATTGCATTGCCTTACATTGCATTACATTACATTACATGACATGACATTACATTAGATTAGAGTACATACCTACATGCATAAATACATACATACATACATACATACATACATACATGCATCCATATGTATATATATATACACACACCAGGAGTGCTGGCGCGGGTGTTGCGCGGTGTGTGCGCTGCAGCGCCCGAGGGGCCGCAGCGCCACGTGGAGGGCCGCAGGTTGAGGTCAGGCATGTCCTCCTCCAGGCGGAGTGTAAAGTTTAGAGGAAAAATGAAAAAAAATTATAGAAAAGATTAATTATTTCCCTACCGATTAGCATGATTCAATGCACCTGTAGCTATTCCCGAACTTCATTTTGACTAGAAATTCGTTTTCTGTATGGATATTCATGGTTTTGATCAGAAATTCAATTTATAAACGATTAATTCGCAATTTTGCAGTTTAATTGATTAATGAATAATTTTGGATGATTATTTACAGACAAAAAATCGCGGTTGTTTACGCACAAATAACCGGCACGTGCAAATTCCATGGCCCCCAAGATGGCCCCCAAGATGGCCCCGACAGGCCCCCATGGGGCCCCCAAGAGGACCCAGGCGGCTCCCGCGAGGTCTCCAAAAGGCTTCCAGGAGGCCTCCAAGAGGCCCCCAAGACCCCAAGGGGCATCAGGAGGATCCCCGCGGCACCCAAGACTCTCAAAAACACCACTGGGCCTGCCAAGAGGCCCCCCAGACGCCCTAACAGGCATGCAAAAAGCGTCTAAGAGCCATCCGAGGATACTACGATAGGCATTGAAGATGCCTCTGGCTATTCTGCTCGCCCTGTTCCTCCTCCTCGTCCTCCTCCTTCGTGTCCTCCCCCTTCTCCTCGTGCTCCTCCTCCTCCTGCTTTCTCTTCTTCCTCCGATTCCTCCTCCTCCTCCTCCTTTTCCTCCTCCTCCTCCTCCTCCGTGCTCTCCCTTTTTCCCTCTCCCCCCCCTCTCCTCCTCCTCCTCCTCCTCCTCCTCCTCCTGCTCCTACTCCTACTCCTACTCCTACTCCTTCTCCTACTCATCATCATTCTCCCCGCCCCCTCACGCATCCATCAATCCAGCCTCCTCCTCCTCCTCATCGTACTTCCTTGGCTCGGTTCCGCTGTCGCCCTCTTTATTCCCGCACTTCCCTAGACACCTCAACTCGCCTGGGCGTCGTTTCTGGATGGGCTGGCGCCGATGCGCGAAACGTCAACAATTTGTTCTCTGACAGTCGCCACGCTAATCCAAGGTTGCGAGCGGGCCCCCCTTCGGGAGCTCTCGGCGCTGGCTTCGAACCGTTCTGAGTGCCTCGTGGGCCGCCGGGCCGTTCTGGAGCTCTCTGGAAGTCTTGGCCCTTCCGTGCTGTTTTGGGAAGTCTTTCAAGGCGTTTCGGGGGCAGTCTGGGGGCCCCGTCGGGCCGCCGTAAAGATTTCTTGGGGCGCACGGGGCCAACTCATCGGAGTGCCGTGCGAGGCCGTCGCGAGTCTCTCCTGGGCCGCTCTGGGCACGGTGAGAAGGGCGATGGCGCTTTTCCTCGGAGCCTCTGCAGCGCGTCAAGAAGCCCAAGCCGAAACGGCCAAGTCCAGCCCTAGATCAAGGTTTCCCCTCCGGGGCGCCGCAAGGAGCAGCGTCTGCAAGAGAACCAACAGCATCGGCGCGCATGTGCAGCACCCTGCCAACGAGCGCCACACCTCGACGCTGCCTTCCCCGTCTGCGGGAATCCCGGCGGCGGCAGCCAGTTCGCGGCCGATCAGCACGCGGCCCGCTCGGCCGCCTGGAAGAGGTCAAGGCAAACAACAGGGGCACAGGAGCACGGGCGCACAGGGGAACAGGGGGAGAGAGAGAGAGAGAGAGAGAGAGAGAGAGAGAGAGAGAGAGAGAGAGAGAGAGAGAGAGGTAGAGAGAGAAGGGAGAGAGTCCACATTGTGGGACTGAGAAGAGAGTCTGAGAGAGAACACAAAAGAAAAAAAACAGAGAGAGAGAGAGAGAGAGAGGGGGAGAGAGAGTATAGAAGGAGAGAGAGAGAGAGAGAGAGAGAAGTATAGAGAGAGAGAAGAAGAGAGAGAGAAGAGGAGAGAAGAGAGAGAAGATAGAGAAGAGCAGAGAGAGGAGAGAGAAAAAAAAAAGAAAAAATAAAAAAAAGAAAGAGAGAAAGAAAGGAGAAAAATAGAGAGAAAAAGAGAGAAGAGGAAAGAAAAGAAGAAGAGAAGAAGAGAGAGATATAGAGAGGAGAGAGAGAGAAGAGAGAGAGAGAAGAGAGAGAGAGAGAGAAATAGATAGAGAGAGAGAGTGGAGGGGGAAAAAGTAGGAGAAAGAGGAGAAAGAGAGAGAGAGAGAGAGAGAGAGAGAGAGAGAGAGAAGAGAAGGAGAGAGACGAGCTCGTGGCCACGATCGATGACGGCGAGAGCGCGGCTAGCTCTCGCTCTTCTCTCTCTCTCGCGCCGCTCTCGCTCTCTCTCCAGCCGCACACTCGCAAGCCGATCCATGACGGAAATGTTCCCAGGCGCCCATATCCAGTAGACACCAGAAAAACGAAGCCCCCCCCCACGGGCCCCTCCAGCAGCGCCCCTGGCGGCAGCGGCTGCCTGGCGCCCAGGCCCGCGGACAGGTCCACGACGAACCCGTGGCCCCTGCACTCCGCCGACGCAAGAGCGAGCAAGATCTTCTTCTTGTCGTCCAGGACGCGGAACCATCGGCTCTCGCCGAAAAGAGCGTCGGCCGCAGCCACGGTCGGCATCTTCACCTGGTTCCGCAAGCATTACTCGAGGATGCCCTTCTGCCAGCCCACTGGCAGGGCGCGCGTTTGAACCGCCTCCCGCTGCAGAATGGCATCGTCGATGTAGTCCGACCACACCGTCGCCGAAGCCTCCGCAAAAGCCTCGAAGGGAGGGCCGCGGATCTGCCGTGCCTCGACGCTCTCTGCGAACACGCGGAAGAACTCAGTCCCCGACTCCATGTTCAACAGGGCGCCCCCGCGCGCCGCCAACAACCACCTGCTGCACTTGCTGAAAGGCGCGCCGTAGTCCGCCGAGTCCACGACGAAGGTCAGACACTGCCACTCGTCGGTTTCCTGCAATTCGTCGTGCGGGATGCTCTCCCCCGGCCCGTCCGTGCTCTCCACGAGAACGAGCTCGCTGTTCTGCGCCGCACACTGCAGGAGAATGCTGGCCGCGCTGGCGCCGCTGGCCCCCGGGCGCCTGAACGAACAGCTCCCCAAGAGCAAGGCTGGGCCCCCCCTGGCGCGCGCAGCAGCACCTCTGGGGAGGCCGCCGACGCCCCGGATTCCGTCGTCCACGCTCCGCCCAGATCCGCCTAACGGCGCGCACCACCTCGCGAACACTTCAGCGCGCTGATTCGCCACGGTGCTCTTAGCCGCGTCCGTGCGGCAGTGGGCAGCGATGCGAAAACCCTCCGACAAGAGACCGTGCTTCTGGAACACCCTCTGCAATTCCGTGAGCACGGGCGCCGCGACGAGCATTCCGTCGCCAAACGCCGCCACCGAGAGCGCCTGGGGCATCGATTCCGTGACGTACGCGGCGTGCTCTTTGAGGACGGGGGTCCACCCACTCCCCGAAGAATCGCAGCGCATGTCCACTAGCAACCGCGGCTGCATCGATCGCCTTCGGGGCTGGCCAAGCTGGCAACCAGTCATCTCCGATGACCTCGGGGTCTTCCTCGCGCGGCTGCTCCTCCTCTCCGAGCTCGCCGCCGTCGCCGCCGCTCTCCTCGGCAAGCTGGCGCAGGTCGTCAGCCTCCGCCTCCACGTCCGCGGCCGCCGCGTCGGCCTCTACTTCCGACGACGCCTTGCCGCGCCCCTCGCTCACTGCCCGACCCTCTCGGCCGCCGCCGCCAGCGGCGCCCTCGCGACGCACGGGGTCTGCCGAGGCGTCGTCTTCGGCGCGCCCAGCAGCGCCAGCTTCCGGCGAACCTTCCAGCGGCCCTCGAGCTTCCTCCTCGCCCGCTGTCACAGCCGCCTCCGCGGCCCCCCTGGCACTCGAAGCGGCCGCCGGCCGCCGAAGAGCGGAGGCCGCGGCCGCCCTCTTACCCGCACTCGAGGCCGGCGCCTCGGCCGGCCTCTTCTCGGCCCCGCTGGCGATGGACGACGGCGCCTGCCTGGATAGGCGCGCTCGGAGCGGCGACGAGCCTTCTACAGCGCTGGCCCGCGCCGCCGCAGGCGCCACGAAGTTGTCGAGGTCGAGGCGCCCCCAGCGGCTCCCATCCGGGAGCTTCGGCAGTTTTTTCGGGGCCATCAGCCGCGCCGAAGCGGGCCGCGCGCCGAGGCGGCCCGGCCGCGCGGGCCCACTGCGCCGCGCGCCTTGAGCCAGAAAACTCTGGAGGGCAGCCTACTGACCCCATCGGGGCCCTCTCGAGGCCCCCCCGCGGTTCCCAAGGCACATGTCCACGGACCAAACAAAAGCCTGCCTGGTTGTCTCACTGCCCGCCCTCCGCAAGGAGTGAACCAGATAATGAATATTATGGCCCTGGTCTTTCTCACCCCTTCCTCCCCCCGCCCCCCTCTCTTCCTCCTCCCTTCCTTCTCCCTTCCTCCTCCCAGTATCCCCTCTCCTCCTCCCGCCCTCCTCTCTTCCTCCTCCCCTCTTCCCCCCTCCCTCCCCCCTTTCTCCTTTATTCATCCTCCCTTCCTCCTTCCTTACTCCTCTGTACCTCCCCCCTTACTCCTCTATTCCTCCTCCCTTCCCCCCTTCCTTCCACCCTCTTCCCCTCTTCCTCCCCTTCCGTGCTTCGGGCCGATCGGGGATTCGACTTTTCTGTTCCGTGGATGGGAACATGATCTACCTTTGTAGGCTCTGTTTACCTGTTGCAGGAGCGCGCCTATTGCTTCCATTAGGTCTCGTGCGCCTCTGCTGCCGCTGCTGCTGCCGTTGCTGCTGCCACGCCAGGGGCCCAGGAGCGCCAGGCGAGCGAGCTAATCCGAGTCAAGGGGCGGCAACTGGCCCGCCACGCAGGCAAGTGGCAGCAGCAGCAGCATCAGCAGTAGATCTGCCAACGGCCGAACCCCTGGCATCTGTAAAATGGTCGTCGTCGTCCTCCTCCTCCTCCTCCTCCTCCTCCTCCTCTTCCCTCCCCCCATCCTCCCACCCACCCATCCTCTTCCTCCTACAGAGCGAGGGGGGGGAGGGAGAGCAGCAACAAGAGCAGCAGCAACAACCAGAACCTTCGGCGGACAGGAACCGCTCTTGCTCTAACAGGGCGCGCCCTCGGCGCGCGAAGACTGGCTTGAAATGCTGGCAACTTGCAGCAGCAGGAGCAGCATCCGCAGTTGATCTGCCTACGGCCGACCCCCTGGCAGGTGTGCGATGGCCCTCCTCCTCCTCCTCCTCCTCCTCCTCTTCCCCCTCCCCTTCTCCCCTCTTTTCCTCCTCCTCATCCACGGATCCCGATTCGCCTGCCTGGGGCGGCATCGGTGCAAGTTTCAAGTCTGTTGCGTCCTCGTGGACGCGCCCAGCAGAGTACGGCAAAACCCTCCTGCGTCTCCTGCTCCTCCTCCGCCTTGCTTTCCCCCCATCCTTCCTCATTTTTTTGCAGAGCGAGTGTCAGACTCCCCTCGACTAAGCACATCGCTCGCATTGTCCGTAGCAAACTTCCGAAGCTGGAAAAGCAAGGCCAGTGGACAACCCCCGTGAGAGACCGCCACGGGCTGTCACTGCGCCATTCCCCTGAACTCTAAACCGAGCGTCAGCCCGCAACTCGCAGCGCATATCTCGCGCGCTGGACCTCCCCCCGCCGCCTCGCTCTATCTCCTGCGCCCCCCTGCCTCCCGCGCCCCTCTCGTCTCAGCGAGGCGGCCCCTGGGCGCCGGCCGCTCGACTGGAGAGCGCGCCAGGCGCCCCCGCCGCAAAGAAAAACACCACCGCGCCCCCGGACTCCTGCAGCGCGCACCTACGCGGCCTTGCGCGCGGACTTGCACGCAGGGGCGCCGCCAATGCTGGCACTCTTCGCCGCCAGAACCGCTGGGGAATGCGGCGTCGCCTTTGGAAACGACGCCGCGTCGCCCACCCTGGCCCTCTTGGCGGCCCCGGGCGCAGCCCGGGCGCACCCTTTCTGGTCAGTGCCGCCGGCCCCGCTCCCAGGCGCGCTGTCTGCTGCACCGCTGGCGCCCTCCGCCTCGCTCTCCCCGCTCACTGCGCGGCCGGCGAGGATCGCCTTCCCCGCGTTCAGAAGGATCTCGGGGATCAGGCGGCCCTCGAGCGCGGGAAACTCCTCCTTCGTCTTGTCAGGCTCCTCTGCGACGCTGATGAGGTTCCTCATGGCATCGCGGACCTTCTGCTTCTGCTGGGTCAGAATCCTCGACTGGCCTTTCGCCTCCCAAATCGACGACGTCACGTTCGCGCACCAGGCGACCAGGAAGAGCCGCTGTACCAAGATGGGGGTCGCGGTACACCTCCTTTATGAGAGAGAAGCCACCGATCACCTGGAGCGAACGCGGGGTGGCGAGGAGGAGCCGCGGCGGAATGTACTGGGAACGAGGGGGGCTCGGTGGGATGAGACAGCGGGGGGCTGGTGAAGGAACACGAGGAGCTGGGGAAGACGGCGAACAAGGATCTGCGCACCTTGTTGACAGCATCAACCATCTTCCCACCCTTGCCGCCGAAGGTCTCCGGCATGTCCACGGTGCCACCGACAACCTTTAAGAACTCGGCCGCTTCCTGCAGCGTCTCGGGGATGGGGCTCCTCTCAAGAAGCTCCTTCGCGGCGCGCACGGCTGGCTCGGCGTCGAACCGCTTGACGGAGCGTTCGGCCCGCTCCTGCGCGACTTTCTCCAGCCATGGCACGGCCTGCGCGTGTAGCTCCTTGCTGGCCCCCACTGCTGCCTCCACATCTTCCAGAGAAGCGTCGAAAGTCTTCGCGATGACCGTCTGGAAGGCGCGCTCCGGCTGCGCCATGTCCCCGAGCTGGCGCACGGCGTCGCTCGCGTTCTCCCACAGCTCCAGGTTCAGCTCGCCCCCGGCCTGCTCGGCAAGCTCCTTGGCGTCGGCGACGGCCGCGACGCTGCACAGCCACATGTCCGCTTCCTTCCAGGTGTCCTCGGGCGGCTCCGCGCTCAGCAGCTTGGAGATATTCAAGAAGGCCTGCAATTCCTTCCGTTGCCACGCCGCCGAGTCCACGCGCTTCAGAGACTGTTCTGCTGCACCCTTGGCTCTGGCCAGAACGCTGTGGCCCAAGGCCCTGCGCACACGCGCCGCCGTGCCCAGCGCGAGGGAGAACAGCGACTGCAGCCCCTCTACGTTGTCTTCCGCAGACACTGTCACGCCAGAGACCTTCAACAACGCCTCGGGGCTCTCCTTCAAGAGGTCGCACAACCGATTGGCTGTCTTCACTGGCTGCTTCACCCCAGGTACGTCGAGACGGCTGTACGCGGCGATGTCGGCGATCTTCTTCAATGCCCCGAAGGCGGTCTCGTGGGGGCCCTTGATACCATCAGGCGCCCACTCCTCGACGGTCGACCAGCCGTGCTCCAACTCCAGCCGCTCGACGCACGCGGCAGTCAGGAGCCCCTCTGGAGAACGCGTTTCGGCGCCCAAACTACATTGAGAAGGCGCGCTGCTGCAGCACCTCTGGCACAAGGTGTTCTCCTCATCATCCTCCTCCCTCCTCCGCCTCCACTTCCTCCTGATCGGTCTGGCGGTCCGGGGTCCGGGGGTGGTTCATCTGTCTGTGTCCTGTTTCTCGCTATCGGACAAGGAATCTTTCCTCAGGCCTGCTGCGGCTCGCCCCACCTCCTCGCGGGGCGAGCGCAAGAGCAACCCGAGGACCACGTCCTCGAACGCCGCGCCTCGACAGGAGGCAAACACAGGCAACGGCGAGGTCAAACATCCCATGCTCAAGTAGGAGAAAATAAGGCGCGCCGCAGCAGCACCGGCCAAACTAAAACCAATGGCGGATGGGAAACCCTCGAACCTCATCGAACGGACTCGCGATCTTGCGGAGGCCCGCCCGCGGCCTTCCCTGGCGAGTTGGTGCCGGTCGGCCTCCTGCAGCGCGCCCGCCTTGGACGCGGCCTCCTTCTGCTTCTTGCAGGCGCGCGACACCTCTCGGTCCAATTCTGCCACTGCTCCCCGGCGGCATGGCCCGTCACCTGCGCGAAGAGCTCCCGGGCTGCCTGGGCGCACTGGAGAGCAGCCTCCTCGTGGGGCCGCTTCTTCATGGCCGACTCCGCCCAACCAACGAGGACTTTGCCGCCCGGGCTCGTGTTCAAAGCGACGCCCAAGGCCCCCTCCAGCTGCGGGAGCGCCTCCAGCGCCTCCTCCACCTCAGTCAGCGGGGCAGTGCTCGCGCGCGACACTGCCCAGAGAACTTGGATTTGACCCTTCAGCTCCTCCTCCCACACTGGCCGCGCAGGGTCGGCGGGGGCCCGCTGGAGAGCATCCCGCGCGGCGCCAGCGAAGGCAACCACGGCGGCAAACGATCCGCCTCCCTTCTTGGCGTCCGACTTCGCGACGGCCGAAATCAGGCCCGCGCCGACTCGCTCGAGGGTCGTCGTCGCGAGATCTGCCGAGGGCGCGCCATCTGCAGCACCGCTTTCCAACAGGGACATCAGCTGTAACCAATCGCAGCGCTTGATGGCCTCGTCTGCCTTCCAGCTCCTGAACCGCATGTGGCACGCCACGCCGAACGCGATGTCCTCCGCCGCGGCGATCTCGGTGTCTTTCAGGAGAGTCTCGGTGTTCCCTGGCTTCTCGCTCACAGCAGCCTGCGGACTCCTCCGCCTCCTCTGGTCCCCCATCGCTCAATCTTCTTCCTCCTCCGCTTCCGCCGCCTCCTTTGAACTGGGCCGGGGGCCTCCAAGCCCCCGTTCACAAAGAGGAATGAACAACTGAATGCGTACTGTAGCCCCCTCCTCCCTTCCTCCCCCATTCCTCCTCCCTTCCTCCTCCCTTCCGCGCCCCTTCCTCCTCCCTTTCTCCTGCCTTCCGCCTTCCTTCCTCCTACCCCCCCTCCTGCCTTCCCCCTCCCTTCCTCCCTCTCCCCCTATCGTCCTTCTCCTTTCCTCCCCCCTTCCTCCATCGACGACGACGACGACGACCACGAACGCGACCACGACCGCGACCACTCCGCCTTGACGACCCGCACTGCCGCGGCCAGCGCCTCCTCTGAGCGCGCCAGCCACGCCTTGTTGATCTGCAGCGCCTGCGCGCCGTCATCCGGGATCTTCCCCATCTTGGCCGCTGCCTTCTTGGCCGTGTGGATGGCGCTCTCTGCGGCTGCCGCCTGCTCAAAAGCCGTGGCCTTGAAGTGGGCTCTCCCCTCATTCGTGGACAGGTCCACATCTCCGCTGAAGTCGAGCAATTTGTAACACTCCCGGAACGTGTTGAAGAGCGTGTCGGCCTCGCCCTTGAGTTTCCTGCAGGCCGCTGTGAGGCTGAATTCGAGGGCCTTCCGCCCCCTCTTCTTCGACGCGGAGCCGTCCTCGAGAGGTGCTGGCTCGTCCGGCTGCCCGCCGCCCTCGTCGGAGTCGTCGGGCGGCTGGGCGAGCAGGGGCGCGGCCCACGAACCGCCGCTGCCACGCTTCTTCCCTGGCTGGCTCCGGCCCGAGCGCTGCGGGGTCGCCAAGGGCGGACTGGCGCTGCTGCCGTCGGCTGGCTGCGCCGAGGGCGCGGCCGTCTGAGCAGGGGCGCGGGCGGCTGACCTCTTCGGCGGCGCCTGCGCCGAGGGCGCGGCGCACTTCGAAGGGGCAGCGGCTGCGGGCGTGGCAGCCCCTTTGGCGGCAGGCCTCTCGGCTGTCTGGGCGGGGCGCCCGGACGTAGCCCCCCCGGTCGTCTGGGCTGGTGGTCTGGCCTGCGGCTTGGTCGCAGCCTTGGGCGCGGGCTTGGCGGCGCGGGCCGTGCCCCACAGGCCCGACAGCGCCGCGGCCACGAGATCCGTCTCTTCGGCGTCCTCGTCGCTCGCGGGAGAGTCGGACTGGTGCCCCTCCGACGGCGCGCTCTCTGCTGCACCGATATCCGCGCACTGCGTGGCGCGCCGCAGGGCTGCAATTGGGGCCACGGCGGCCTCGGCAGCAGCCGCAACCTCAGCCGCGTCCGCGTCGTCGTCTGACTCGGCCACAGTCGCCAGCACCGTCCTGTCCTCCACCTTGCGATCGTCGTAGTCCGCGATGTCGTACAATAACTTCTTCGCGCCGTCCTTCATGACATATACAACCTGCCAGTAGGAGAGCAGAAAGGGAGGGCATTTCAACGATGAAGGAAGCGAGTGGGAAGACGACTTGGCAGCGCGCCTCCTGCCAGGCGCCGTCGATGAGCTCCTCGCCGCGACAATTCGGGTCCGTGGACAGCGGCGTCTCAGGGAAAGCCTCGTGCCACTTGCTCACGGGGCAGGCTTGATGCCAGTTCGCAGACAGGCGACGCCCGGAGACCTTGACGGAAGATACCTGGCGAGCCTGCTGGATGTCTCCCGCGGCCTGCCTGGACATGCGGCGGCGCTTCTCTGGGTCCTTCCCCGCCTGGCTCTGGACGTACGCATCCACCTTGAGCCGCAGGGTCTGCGCCCGGCCCGCATCCTGGCGCACCCACTTGATTTACTCCTTCAGCGGCTTCTTCTCGCCGCCAGGCAAGTGGGGGTCCAAGAGCACCGCCTGCGAGAGAGAGAAAGAGAGAGAGAGAGAGAGAGAGAGAGAGAGAGAGAGAGAGAGAGAGAGAGAGAGAGAGAGAGAGAGAGAGAAGGGGCTGGACCAAGTCGGAATCGCGTCGGACATGGGTCGGGGCCGCGTGGGACTCGAGTCGCGTCGGGCCCCGCGCAGGATAGGCCGGGCGGGGCACCCCTGCGGATCGAGCGGAGGTGGAATGTCCAACGGCAATGCTCGAAGTCGCCTCGCCGCGACCAGAAAAAAATGCATTCCTCTGCCGGTTGCCCTTTTTCTCTTGCGCGGAATTGCAATGCGCTGAATTTAAAATTGCATCTTTTTGTGAATTTATTGAAAAAAACATTTTCCCCCCCAAAAAAGTTATGTTCACCAAAACCTCTTTTATGTTCACCAGGGCGATTTTATGTTCACCAGGGCGGTTTTATGTTCACCGGCCGGAAATTCAAAAAACAATTATGTTCACCAAAACCACTTTTATGCTCACCAGGGCGATTTTATGTTCACCAGGGCGGTTTTATGTTCACCGGCCGGAAATTCAAAAAAAACAATGGGAAATATAAAAAAAAATCAGAAATATAAATTTGCAGCCCGCGCGGGCAGAGAAAAATTGAAAGCGGCGGGCTCGATTTCAGCGAAATGTCCCTTGCCCGCCTGCCTTCTTGCACAACAGGGCCTTGCAAACCAGGCACAAATAGCCCGTGGCCCGGCGGATCATGCTGCCATGGACGGTGTGGTACTTCCACGGCCAGTATCCGCCGAACTCGTCCTCGTTACTCGCCTGGGGATACGGGCTCGGGTCCGTGCTCTCGTGGGCGCAGAGACCGCACGTGAAGCTGGAACCATCCTTCTTGTTGAAAGGTTTCACCAGATAGCCAGCCCACTGGCCAACCACCACGAGGGCGACCTGAGAGGAAACGGGAGCCAAGAAGGAAGAAAGGAGGCGAGGCGCAAGAAAGGAAGGACATAAGGAAGTGCACAATGACGGGGGCCCCTCGACCTCGAGGCCGTGCAGCATGCGGCCCCGCCGCAACCCCGAGGCCAGGGACGGCGCTTTCTCCGTCTCCCCGTCGGTGTCGGAAGGCGATGCCTTCACCGTCTCCGCGCGGGACATCGCGGGGGGCGAGGGGGCGGGCGCGGCGGCGGGCAGCGAGGCGCTGGCGCGGACGGCAGCTTAGCCGCAGCTCGGGAGCAATGCTGCGCCGAGAGACGCGGCGAAACAGCGATTGGAGCAACGCTCAGGCGACAGCTGCGCGATTGCAGCGGGCGGCCGCGGCGGCGACAACGACTCTGAGAAATGCACTTTTACACGCCTACGCTTCGTATCTGTCCTGGCGGGAAGATCACCCGCCACTGGCCCGCCTCTCCTCCGAGTCCCTCCAAGGCTGGCTCTCGGGCATGCCCTCCAGGACCGCGCGAGCAGCGGCGATCTGCGCTGGCGTGGGCACCTTTTGTTTATGGTCTGCCTTGCTCCCGCATCCAGGGGCCTCCCCCAACCACCACCACAAAGCGGCCAAAGGTCTGACCCTCGATTGCTGGTTCCATGAACAGCCTGGATGGAGGCCACAGACGGCGCGCATGTCGTAGACGGCGAGGGCCTCGTTCTCGACAAGGCGAATGTAGTGAGGGCGGCCAGCCCCAGCGGGATGTGGGAGCTGCGGGTATCGGGCGACGCGCGGGCGCCTCGGCGCGCCCGCGGGGGGCGGCGGCGGCGCCGCCGCCGCAGCGTGGCCGCCCAGCGGCCCGTGCGCCAGAGCGGCGTCCGGCGCTGCTGCGGGAGGCGCCTCCGCTGGCGCGCCTTCTGCTGCACCCTGCGCCCCACGACCTCTCTGCCGCCAGGCGGCGGCGGCCTCCCAAGCGGCCTTCCAATCCTTCGCGTAGTCAGGCTCC